AAGGTTTCATGGACCCATTACTACATCGAATTTTCATCAAGAAAATAGAAGACGTAGCTGGCCTGAATTACCTCCCTGCTCTGTACCAATTTACACATCTTACAACCATGACTATGAAGATCGCTTTTTTATGTAACCACGTTTTATTTTAATAAATTAATTTCACTTGTTCTACTATCTCGACCTTCTTAGTCGCCACTCATTTTCTGATCATGGGCCGTATGCTATCCTTCCCCGAAGCTAGGTGATCCAAAGTTTCCTTTAAATTTATTTGTTTTGAACGATGTAGTTTCTTCATTTTCAGTGCATGTTTACTTTTACCTACATACATACATTAAATGTAGGCCTTTATCAGGGCAATCCCAGTTGGGAAGACAGAGAAAATTTAAAGGATTTTCGTCCCCCAACCCCTTCGGGGAAGATAGCATACGGCCCATGATCAGAAAATGAGTGGCGACTAAGAAGGTCGAGATAGTAGAACAAGTGAAATTAATTTATTAAAATAAAAGTGGTTACATAAAAAAGCGATCTTCATAGTCATGGTTGTAAGATGTGTAAATTGGTACAGAGCAGGGAGGTAATTCAGGCCAGCTACGTCTTCTATTTTTTTGATGAAAATTCGATGTAGTAATGGGTCCATGAAACCTTTCCTACTTCAATCTTAACATTTGAACAGGTAGGGAATGTTATCTCATCGAGAGCAATATAGGTGCAAATCCTCCCCCAAATCACACTTCGTTTCCCACTACGAAGATCCTGAAATGAAACCGAATTTAACTGTTGTCCATGCTGAAAAGAGTGCTATGCTAACCTCAACAAATGAGAGCAAACCATCGATGGTGATGTTGTTCGGAGCGCCAATAAAGAAAGAAGTGGCAGTGAGCTCGGCAAGAATGTTGTCGTCTATTGGAATTACTCGAGCATTTCCCCAGCTGGAAACACAAAAGCGTTCTCTCGATACAATGACCTGGAAAACCTCGGGACCAAGGCCGTCCCAACAGCTAATCTTGAGGAAGCAGATATCTTCCGGAGCGACGTCGAGAAGGAATCGAAGAATTGATGATGGGCTGTCAGCGATGAGGAATGGTGCATCTTTTATCGTTAACTCCTGTACTCGACTGCCAGCATCCAGGAAGTACGACAAGATCAAAGGCAGATCCCGAGCGGCCACCTAAACAGTTTAGGCATGAAGATCCTGGAAATATCAAAAAAGATGACCGTCCTGTCCATGTTCTATAGATACAATACCATCTTTGATTTTCAGTACCATCAATTGATACACTATCGATAAAACTACTCCTATCTCAATCAACATTCCGCTTAGCATGCTCCGTAACAACGACTGAAACTTTGATGAGTATAGAAGGAGGCCCCCAGCTACAGAGACCCTGTCATTCTCGCCAGTGGGAGGTGCAAAGCTAGGATGTAAGGGCCGTGCCACAACGCCTTGACCGCCGCAACGATGCCATTTATACCGCAAAGTGTCCGCCTTCCTCGACCTGGGAAAGGCGTTCAACCGGCTACCGCGAGCAGCACTATGGAGAACGCTAAGGAAACGAAATGTACCGGAACACCTAATTTCGCTGATGAAGTAGGGCCTAGGGTCTCCTCCATTAGGCCATGTGATGTGAGTATGGCGCTATCGCGGTGCACCAAGGATCAGCTCCGAGCCTGTTCCTCTTCCTCCTAACACTGGATGTATTGGTGAAGGGCTCATGGAGAGACCATACTCCACGCTACATCGCCATACATCGCCCTGATTGCAGACAACAGGGAAGAGCTCCAGAGTAAGGTGCAGAAATGTCAGGGAGTAGCAAAAGGCAAGCTGCCGCAAGGAATTCCCAAAGAAGAGGTGGAGGGATGTGATCAAGAAGGACCTAAGTGAAATCACGGCCACAGCAGAAGATGCCCTGGACAGAGCAAAGTGGCGACGACTGACAAAGACAGCGGACCCTGCGACTGCGCGGGACTAAAGCTAGGGAGAAAAAGAAGAAGGTGCCTGCGTCCTCCGGTATGAGGTGCTCCTTCGCGTGTCCTCGCGACATATACCTTGATTACTTACAAAAAAGCTTTCGAACCCCCTTTTTCACGTAGTGGATTTTTCCTGTTCTCCAAGGATGGTCCTTGCCCGTATAGTTTCATTTTCAAGCGAAATAGCCGCGAACATATTACGGAATGTGCCTTTGAGATTTAAGCTCGCTTTTCAGTTGCTTTAAGGAATTGTCAAAAATTTCCTGTAATTACCTTAACGATTTCCAGGGACTGAATGTCAGAGTTTCTGAGCGCCTTTGGGAGGTCGTCCAGTGAAAAGAAAGACACCCAATCTTTTTTTGATCGTCGCCGGCAAACCGCTTCAAATCTGCTTAGATTCGTGTCCTATACAGGGAAATAAGAATAGAGCATCTTCCTTCAAAAAATCTTTTAAGCCCAAAAACATGAAGTAAAACTCTTCTGACTTCAGAAAATCCCTCTTCGGAACACTGCAGACGCAAGCGAAGTACGTGGTCCTTTTCCTGCAAAACAAACCTATAAAACTTGCGAGAAGCCATTTTGTCATTAAACAACTCCAAGGTAAAGATCCTCTCTTATAAGCTGGAAACTATATATTCACAATTTGAGTGGCAAATGGAACTGACCACCCGTATCAGCATCCTTTCAATGTGTCTCCTTTTCAACAGCCGTTGGTTGCGCCCAACAAGCTCAAACGTTTCCCGATTCAGCAGTTGAAATTTGTCAACATCACTTCGACGGAGATTCTGCAGAACTTTGACTTGCAACTCTTGTGGCAGTCGACACCAGGGAAAATACTTCTGAAAACAAATGTGGAATGAGCACGCAAACCAAACAGGGCCAACACTTTTTTGAGTCGAAGGTGGAGTTTACCAGAAATGAGTTTAGGAAGTCAGTAAAGCACGAATGCCTGCTGAAATCCGCATTGGAGGGAGTCTGCAGGCTGATGTCACCAGCGCGAGCGCACCGCACTGCGTCGCTGCTAAAGCCTTACAGTTCGGATTTAGACTCCGATAACGAAGGCTTGCCACTTGGTTGGCGTGGAGCGGCGCGAGTACTGCCTTACTATACCGCTTAGAATGGACTATTTTAAATGGACTAAACAACACTACCTCTGGTGGGAGAAACATGCAGATCACGTAGGCCATCGGCCACTTCGATGATGACTACATTGGGCTCAGTGTCTGGAAAATGAATCTCGTCGACAAAAATACGCTCTATGTGTCGGTCGAAGGATACCGAACATCATTTTTGCTTGAACGCTGCGTCGCAGAGAAGGGATGATTCAGGAACTGCTGTGGAAGCGTGACCCGTCAGATCTCGCTCTCTCCCCCTTCCCTGGAGCAGGAGATTTCCTGTATCAATAGCAAGAATTCACGTTACTGGCAAGAGAATTCCTTAGGCATGAATTGGGAACCGTGCTGCGCCGCAGGAGAGCCAGAGCCAGCTAACGGTACTATAATGAGTCCAGGCTTCCCCAAACAAAAAAGCGGGTCTTGTGCAAAATTTCAAAACTCGTTGGAGAAAACTACAGAGCAGAAAACAAAATTGATGCAGTTAACATGTTTAAGCGTGTGCGGAGGAAGTGAGCACGAAGTCCCGGAGGCCGGAGAAAAGAAGTGGAGACGGGCGTGGAAGAGTGAGCCCAGACTGCTCAATGGAGGGCGGGAGCTGATCAAAAAGTGTGCGGGAGCATTGCGACGAAAATTTCATAACTCGGCTCAAGAAGTCCTAGAGATAGGGGAAAACGGGGTTAGAGGTTGGTGAGGGAAAAGAGCTCAACTGCTATTAGTGGGCGGAGCACGCACCTAAGTGGGCGGAGTTTGCCAAAAGTGTCGTAATTTGGTTCCAAGAGGTCCCAGAGACCGGTGAAAAAGGGGGTAGAGGTCGGCGAAAGGAAGGGGGCCAAATGCTATTGGTGGGCAGGGCACGCACCGAAGTAGGCGGAGTTTGCCACGAGATTTATTGTCCGGAAGCAGTCCGGAGACCGGGAAAAGAGGATAATGGTTGACGAAGAAAAAGAGGTTGAAAGCCGTCGATGATGGAGCGGATAGAATTTAGCTGAGAATTCAGATATTCGTGGTGTATCAAGCCAAATTTGAAAATTTTCGTCGCACCATCAAAATTCGCCGCAGATCTGTGTTGCGCGCGCAATGCGTGCGAATATATATATATATATATATATATATATATATATATATATATATATATATATATATATATATATATATATATATATATATATATATATATATATATATAATATACTGGTTCGCATATCACGATCGTATAGAATATACGATATACAGGGGTAAAACTTATATCTTTTTTGAGCTTTGTGGATCAAACTCGTCCACCCGGTGCGTTGGTGTCTTTACAATGTTATTGAACCAAAGACATGACGCACTTCAACTCGCCCTATGAACGGATCTGAAGCGAGCCTCGAGGTGCTCGTTAATATGAATACAAAGCTCTTGGTATGGCAAAATTTATCGAAATTTCAAGAAGTTCTCTGAACCTTGCGTATTTTCCCTAAGTTTTTCATTGCTTTCCTATGAGTTCTATGAGCTCTTCGAAAAGTACCCCTTTCCACCTCCTCCCCCCCCCTCCGCCCCTTCCAGAAATAAACGTAACAAGGGAAGTCGCTTCAAGGGTATGGCGAACCTTTCTTCAAAAACGGGTTTTCTAGAGATATAGAGCTCATGCGTGGACTACAAAACCAGAGGTTCCAGTTGTTCGCTAGCGGCCCACAGAGGCCAGAACACAGTGAGATAACGTGGTGTCCTAAGTTCAATCCCTTGTCAATCTCGCCTCTTTTGCCGGTGCCAATCCAAGCTCACGATGCAGATGCTAGGCGGCACTGGATCCTATATTATCCTACAGTCTTCAAGAAGAAAATTCCGGCGACGACACAATGAAACCCAAACCTCCTTGAGCATTACCACTAACAGTACATCGATTTTGAGCGAATTTCACGTCTCGTGGTCGTCTGTTTTTAATATCCCTTCATACAGCACCCTTCACTATGTGGTGTGTATTTGCTGATAGAGCTAGTAATCGTTCACTCCAAGACGTTGAAGAACATCCACTGTCGCTTAACTAATTTCAGGCGTGCTGTTTGGGATTCAAGGGACGCTCACTGAATACTATGGTAATGCACATTGTCTGTCAGTTCACGAACTTCTACAGCATGCAAAACCGTTCTGAAAGGGCGCTCCACACTTTAAACACCTTCTTTGTAAGTAGGAGGTGTCAAAGGATTGGGACTCCGACTGCTCTAGTGATTGGCAAAGACATCCCCACACCCTGAAAGAGTTTACTGGGGTTCAAGGCAGGGAGCGATAGCCTGAGGAACGCAGCAACGCAAACGAACGTAATGCACGTTCTGAATGTGTTAATCACACCGTCATCCCACTCGTCAACCACCCTTTAGAGAACAAAAAGATGCAGGAGCAAAATAATTGGAGCACACCTGCCCATCTGACGCCGGCTAATCCAAGCCAGACCAGAAGATAACATTATAAATGAAAGTAAAAATATATTCAGAATGTGAATTTGCTTACAGCTCAAGGGTTTTGTTCTTACTCCAGATCTCTGATAGCGGGCACAATCACCGCTACACATCGGCCTTATTAAAGGTTTTTACAATCTGTTATGAAGCAGTATTCGCTTATAGTCGTAGTACAAGAAACTACCGTAACTATTTCCTTCTTTATGAAGAGGGTTACTTATGATGATGATCCCTTCTGAGACGCTGCAAAATAGAAGACAGGATGAAAAGGACGTTGAAAAGTAAGTGGGAACGAGATGAAAAGCGATTTATTGCAAAAAAAGACTACCACACAAAGCTGCAGGAAAAGTGGGAAACTTTCGAGCCTCAAAGAAAAACAGCAACGGTTGCGGATTAGAAGGCAACTAGAAGATTAGAAAAGCTCTTGGAGCTTAGCTCTGCTTCCCCACATAGGCAAAAATATGGAGGGAAGAAAGTGCTGAGATACGGGTTCCCTCCAGCTACGGGGAAAAGAACTGTTTTTAGAGGTGATGCACTTCACAACAACCTAGTAGCCGTTGGTGAATGATGAATCAGAACCCACTGTTCGAAAGTGACTCATTTCGAAATCCGTCCTTGCTTGACGTAATCATCGGCAAGTGAATATCGAAAACAATTCGCCATTTATAGTTTAGTTAATCGATTGTAAAGGTTTTGGCGTCACTTACAAGGGAATGCTTTGGACTTCCCATGGAACTTTGAAAGATGACCTGGGTATATCGATAGAGTCTTGAACGCTGATTGCAAATAGGGACACTATAACTGCTACGTGAACTTTTTCTTTGAAAGTTATGAGCCTTCAAAGTTGGCAAGAAGCGGACGCCATTTCATCAGGACAGCTAAGCGCTGACGAGGCAGGGTGGCGGCGGCGCAGTGGTAGAGCTCTCGCTCTAAAGGCGGCTGGTCGTGGGTTTGCTCCCGGCTGGAGCCAAGGTTTTTTGCACAGAGTTTATTTCAAGTGCGCAAAGGTTGCTATTTTCATTTTTTTTCATTCATTCAAACAGGCGCCCTATCTGGCGGGTAGTTCAAATGTTTGACGCGGGAGATCAAATGGACGTGGAGACATGTTATCGATTTGCATTCATTAATCATGCCTTTCTCCCTGCAAAGGTAGTTTCCCTTCTTTACGCTGAATTCGGGTCACCCGAAGACAGCGTAGCTAATTGTTTAATTATTATCGTATTCCCTCGATTTCCCAGAATAAATAGTTTCTAGGTAAGCTATTCTACCTTCGGGACGTATATTACAAGCGTAAATGGGAGTGGCTTTCAAATATTAATGAAGTAGAAGACACAAATCCTGATAACAGCCCTGCATGGATTCAAAAAACAGTGTGCAAAAATTTTGGCTCCGGCCGGGAGCAAACCCTACACCACCGACCGTTAAAGGGCAGAGCGACTCTACCACTGCGCGCGCCACCTTACCTTGCAGTCATTTGCGCTTAGCTGTCCTGATGAAATGGCGTCCGCTTCTTGCCAACTTTGAAGGCTCATAACTTTCAAAGAAAGTTCACGTAGCAGTTATAGTGTCCCTATTTGCAATCAGCGTTCAAGACTCTATCGATATACCCAGGTCATCTTTCAAAGTTCCATGGGAAGTCCAAAGCATTCCCTTGTTAGTCGAAGTCTTACGGGTTTATTCTAATACATAAGATAAAACTCTAATACTTTAATATTTACACTCTCATTATCATGTAGCACGAGAAGCGAAATAGGAAAGGGGAAAGGAGAGTGAGTGAGAGCCTGAACCTATATTTGCCCGCTTTTTTTAGGTGGACTTACGTCTTTAAATAGTCGCATCCATCTTTATGCGATTTTTTTTCATCTTATATTTTACGGAGACCTGAACATATCTTATTTAAATTATTGCTCAGTTTAATACCAGTGCGTTGCGCCAAATATAGGAGGATTATTCCCCCGAATATATGAATATCTGGCTTCTAAAAGCCCATTTTTTTTCGTTTTATTCGCAAACCGGGTAGAATTAGAAACGTGTCTCTTATTTAAAACTTATACAAAAGTAAAGTCAGATCATCGAATAGTTTTCCGTACTATTTTAGACAATTTTTTAGTTTTATTAGCTTTTATATTATATTACCTCTTCGCGAAGGTTTTTTAGTCGAAATGTTTTTTATCATCGAGTTCAAGCGATGGCTAGCACGTGTCTTATATTAGCAATTATTTTATCGAGTTTGAAGTTGCTCCATTTCCTCTCCTCGATTGAAAGCCAGACGTTTTATTTCCTGATGCC